GAAGCTCACCAATCTGATCCTACCCCAGCCCAAGTGGGTGTGGCTCAAGAACCAAGGCCTGGGCAAGCAAGGCGTTTAGTACGGAAAACCTGGACTACCATGTCTTTGAGCCATACACAACCTTACATGTAAAACAAAAAAGTCCATGCAATTGGGTAGGACCTACTGATACCTCATGTCTGTAAGGAAGCAAGCCACCACATTGCCCCCACCCACAAACAGTGATATCGTACTATATACTGAAATCGCCCAGCAAACCAAACCGGTTCGACCGCAATCATGTTACGGCTTCCACTTCGACCGGTGGCGCGACCGCGACCGGCCCAACGTCCCAGAACACGTGGCCCACTGTTCTGTCGCTCCGCGAGACAAGGTCGAGTTCATGCGGCTCGGAGGGCGGCGCCAAGTTTCCACGCCCCAGTGGATGTCATGTTCCACGTTTCCATCGTCAGCCCCTCTCGCGCAGGCGGCGCGCGACCGATCGCCCAGCAGCGACCGATCCCAACGAGTTCGAGCACCAGCGACCGAGGCTGGGCTCCTCGTTCAGCGGTGCAGGTGGATCTCGAAGTCCTGCAAACAGAGTCGTTGCAAGGTCACTGGCCATGTGACCTTTTCCAAGCTGTGGTTGAATTCCGAGCCCAGGGCGAAGGTCAACGACTCGAGGGCGAAGGGCCACATGACGTCAGCCAAGCTTTGGTTGAACTTGTAGCCCAAGCTCAAAGAACGCAAACTGCTCGGCAAGGCAAGGCCCGCCAAGCTGCAGTTGAACCTTCCCCCTAATGTCAAGGTCTCCACACCGCTTGGCAGCAAAACATTTTGCAAACTCTGGTTGAAACTTTGGCCAAAGGTCAAAATCTGTAGGTTGCTTGGCAATGTGACACCTTCCAAGCTCTGGTCAAAGGCCTGCCCAAATGTCAAAGCCTGCAAATTGCTGGGCAGCGTGACACCTTCTAAGCTCTGATTAAAATTGAGGCCAAATGTCAATGTCCGCAGGCTGCTTGGCAAGGTGACACCTTCCAAGCTTTGATTGAAGCAGTCGCCAAAAATTAAACTCTGCAGGGTGCTTGGCCATGTGACACCTGCTAAGCTCTTGTCAAAGTCACGACCAAATGTCAATGTCTGCAGGCTGTTAGGCAATGTACCACCTTCCAAACTCTGATTGAATTCGTAGCCAAAGGTCAAAGATTGCAAATTGCTTGGCCATGCGACAGATTCCAAGTCCTGGTAGCTGCTCAAGGTCAATGCTTGCATGCTGTTTGGCAGCATGACACCTGCCAACCGTTGGTTGCACTTGCCGCCGAAGGTCAAAACTTGTAGGCTGCTTGGCAACGCGATGCCCGCCAAGTTTTGGTCGAACGCATTGCCAAATGTTAAGGTCTGCAGGCTGCTTGGCAACATGACACGTTGTAAGTTCTGGTTGAACTTTTCGCGGAAGGTCAAAGTGTGTAGGCAGTTTGGCAAGGTGACACCTTCCAAGCTCTGGTCAAAGCTCCCTCCGAATGTCAAAGACTGCAAGCTGCTTGGCAACATGACGCCTTCCAAGCTCTGATTAAAATGGTTCCCGAAGGTCAAAGTCTGCAGGCTGCTTGGCAAGGTGACACCTTCCAAACTCTGGTTAAACCGCCAGCCGAAGGTCAAAGTCTGCAGGCCACTGGGGAGCGTAACACCTTCAAGAGGTTCGTTGAATTCATATCCAAAGGTCAAGTTCTGCAAGCCTGTCGGCAATGTGACACCTTCTAAGCTTTGTGTACTTCCAAGGGTCAATGCCTGCAGGCTGCTTGGCAAGATCACCTTTGCCAAGCTCTGACGGAAATGGAAACCAAAAGACAGAGTCTGCAAGCTGCTTGGCAGCATGACATTTTGCAAACTCTGGTTGAACTTTTCGCCAAAGGTCAAAGTGTGTAGGCCGTTTGGCAATGTGACGCCTTCCAAGCTCTGGTCAAAGCTCCGTCCGAAGGTCAAAGTCTGCAAACTGCTTGGCAATGCGACGCCTGCCAAGCTCTGGTTGAAGTGACTGCCAAATGTCAAGGTTTGTAGGCTGCTTGGCAAAGTGACGTCAACGATTGCTTGTTTGCAAAAGAACTTCAATGTCTCCAGGCTGCTTGGCAACGTGACACCTTTCAAGCTTTGTTGGAACAAAGTCAATGAGGCAATCGCATCCATCGCACTCGCGTCAGAAGCCCTCAAACGGCCTCTGGTTTCTTCCGCCAAGGCACGGCGCAAGCTCACTGCGGCCTCTCCTGCAGACACTTGCTGCATCACGTAGGTGATCTCTTCACCACAAAGCTGTTCCAGCAGCGGCTTGGAATCGTCCAAGACGTTGCCACCCGAGGTCAGGACCAGTCGCCGGCCGGCTTTGGCGCCGCAGTTGGCCGTGATGATCTTGGAGAGAGCGTCCACCTTGGTTTTGGGCGCAGTCGACGCAAACCCCGAACAAACGTCGAGAGTCGAGATGATTGCAGCATGAGTGGTAATGAAGCCTCCTTGGGGAGGAAGAAGAACCATCCTTGAGAAGCAAAACCCTTCGACTATCTTACTTAGCAACCAACACAAGCATCCATTCTAAGCCAAATCAAACACCACACAAGGCATCACGCAAGGAAACGTATCCTCCCTCATTCCGCGCCGCCGTCGGGGACTCCTCAAGTGTCCAATGAAACGTGGAGCCATCCATGCCATGGATGCTCAAGCGACGGCCGCGTGGAGGGCGCTCCTCCGTCGAGTCGGCCTCGTCCGGCCTGGCACCCATTGCCAGGAGAGGAGGAGGCGAACATGGTTCTTGCAAGAGATCATGCTGTATCATGCGATGTCCACTTGCAGGATGTCTTTTTCGGGTTTCTAAGTCTCAGGTGGTGGGGAATTTGAGTCTTGTGCGGGCGCTCATTGTCAGTAACAGGAGGCCTTTGTCGTAACTGCTGGTCTACTAAATTTGTTGGTGCCACACCTACCAAACCCAGATGACTGGACGCATCAAGGAATCTTGAAAGCCCAGTGCGGTGGAAAATCAATCTTGACCATCCATCATGTCAAAGTCAGGAGACCTCAATAGCCTAATGAATTGGTTGTTTTTTGTAAAAACACCAGCCTCACCCTTTGCAAACAATGGGGACAGTTGTCGCTTGAACGCCGTAAGGCTGAGACGGCCACCATGGCACCATTCATCCTCTTCCAAGCCGTCGGCCACGAACTCTTAAAAATTGTAAAAAAGACCGGATAACCCCACATATGAATCTTTACGAGTCTGAAGGTTCTAAAGCACAAAGCAGTCAGAGTCTCAATAGCTTCTACAACACGGCCTTGTCAGGAAGTGATATCAGCTTCCGACAACAGAGGGGTGGGAGAGAAGGTGTAAGAGAGTGATGTGCACGACGGATGTACGAGGTATTGTGCACACAGGTGTGCGCAGCCACAACTAGCCAACAACACCAGCGGTTGTCGCACGTCCGCACTATGGGGCATAATGTACGAAAGTTGTACTACAAAGTCGCCAGTTCTCAGCTTCCAGCTCCACAGATTGCTCCGCGTACTAAAGTTGTACTACAAAGTCGCCAGTTCTCAGCTTCCAGCTCACGGATTGCTCCGCGTACTACAGTTGTACTACCAAGTCGCCAGTTCTCATCTTCCCACTCCCCAGCTACTCCGCGTACTAAAGTTGTACTACCAAGTCGCCAGTTCTCATCTTCCAGCTCCCCAGCTAGTCCGCGTACTAAAGTTGTACTACAAAGTCGCCAGTTCTCAGCTTCCAGCTCCACAGGGGTTATCCTGCAGTGTCTTCTTTAATAACACTGCCAGTGTTAGATCTGCAGAGCCGACCAGAGCCGACCAAGCAACCACCAGACCCTCTAACGGAGTCAGATCTACTGCGATTTACAATGGAACAGCGTCGCCGGCGCCCACACCCGACCAGAGCCGACCAGAGCCGACCAAGCAACCACCAGACCCTCTAACGGAGCCAGATCTACTGCGATTTACTATGGAACAGCGTCGCCGGCGCCCACACCCGACCAGAGCCGACCACAGCCGACCAGAGCCGACCAAGCAACCACCAGACCCTCTAACGGAGCGAGTCAGTGGTCTCAGATGAGTGGTGTCTGATGAGTGGTGTCAGATGAGTGGTGTGCGATGAGTGGTGTGTGATGAGTGGTGTGTGTGATGAGTGGTGTGTGATGAGTGGTGTGTGTGATGAGTGGTGTGAGATGAGTGGTGTGTGTGATGAGTGGTGTGAGATGAGTAGTGTGTGGTGAGTGGTGTGAGATGAGTGGTGTGTGTGATGACTGGTGTGAGATGAGTAGTGTAAGATGAGTGGTGTGAGATGAGTGGTCTGTGATGAGTGGTGTGTGAGATGAGTGGTGTGTGAGATGAGTGGTGTGTGAGATGAGTGGTGTGTGGGAGGAGCGGAGGAGCGGAGGGGCGGGAGGAGGCGCCGGGAAGAGGCGGAGTGAGACTTAGAAAAGAAGAACCCCACACTAAGATGTGGGGAAAAACTCCGTCCCTAAAGAAGAGTAGTTCTCCAAACAGTTTACTGTTGGGGTTCTATCTTAGGAAAAAAAGAGCTGGACACACTGACTGGCCGAGGCCCTGAACTCTGTGGCCGGGCTCTGTGTCCGGGTCTTCTCTTGTCTTCTCTCGTGGCCGAACAATTAACGATGTCGATGCCGACAAAAATCATTAATTAAGCAATATACTCTTGGGGGAGAAGGTAGGATGTACCAAGAAATCGTTTTTGACTAATGTTGGTCCCAACAAATCGTTTCTGAAACTGTTTGGGGTCTATTCTTATCATCAGTTCACAAGCTCTTCACGTTCGCGAAAACTCGGGACCTTAAACAGCTTTCGGGAAGAAAACAAAAAAAACGTCCGACCAACGTCGGTGTCATCGCTGCATGTTCACGGTCGGGCCACCGCTTCGATCGGCCCAGCCGTGGACAGCGCACGATGGAGGCGCCCACAGGCCCCGCGCCCATGGCGATGGAGGCAATAGAGGGGGTCACTTGATGCAGGCGGTGTCTTCGGATGAAAAATTGACTTGCAATGAGCTTGACTTGGTCAACATCTGATGAGCTTGAGTTTTGGTATGAGCTTGCTATGAAAGAACCAGTAGCACAGCAGAAATGGGCCGTCAAGCTGGTGTCAGCTGCAACATGGCCGCAACATCGCCGTAGAAAGCCTCCAAAAGGGTTGTGGAGTCATTGAGTCATTGAGCTTGGACCAAGCGCATCCTTCAAACGTTCAACTTTTTGGCTTCGCCCGATCGGCACAGATGCCCCAGCGCCTCCAGTCGCTGCCTCCAGTTCGGCGATGGCGCTCGCCGGTCGGCAGTTCCTTCGACTCGTTCGGTGGAACGGCGCAGGCGATCGAAGGCTTCAGATGGGTCAGCGATGTTTATCAGTTTCCAGGGGCGGCGTTTTTTTGCGGCCAGAAGAACTGATCACGGGTGTGAAAGCATGGACCGTTCACGGATCTTTTTTGTGATCTGATGAGCTCCAACAGATTCTGTTGGCTCAACGGATTCCAAGGCAACGGTTTGGAGAAGTCGCTCCATGCTCTGACAGGTGCTTAGTAGGGAATAAGGGAATGAGCCCCCAATAGAGATTCTATTGGATCCATTCCCTCATTCCCTACTAAGCACAGGTCAGTGTTCATGACTGTGGGTATGAAAAGCCTTTTGCTGATGAGGCATTGCTAAAGTCCATTGCAAAGAAACATCGTCCCTTGATCAACTACCATGTGGATCCATGATCTGCTTCGGACACATGCCCAACCCCATCAAAGCTCGCCAAGATCTTATCAATATTTTTGTTTGGAAACTCTGCTAAAAATGCTGTATATATATATATATATTTATATAAGTGAAGACAACACCGGGGCCGGTTCAAAGGCGGGCTGGGCAGCCCCTCCTCCCTGCAAGGCTTGCGATTCGACCAGGCATGGCAAGCATTGGCCCTGGCATAGGCTCTTCTGGGCCAGCCTTGGGGGTGTTCAGCCCGCGGCTTCAACCGATTTCAAGGGAGGGGCGCGACGAAGTCTGGCAAAAATGCGGCGATGAAGATCACAAGCACTTACTGAAGGGATACATATCGCTGCGGTTGATCAAGTGGAGTGCCATCTGCTGCTGATCCCCCAATAAACTAACCAGGCGATTCAAGAATGGCTGGCTTTCTTCCTGGACATGCTCTAGCGGATTCATGTCCACGAATAGATGAAATTCTTTACTAACATTCCTAACAAATTCGCGTGCCATCATCCGTGACCGTACATCCGCGACGATGATCCTAAGTCAGTCGTGGCACACGTGGCTAAAAGCTAATTTGCTCATGCCCGGCGAACAGGTATCTTGAACTGCCGAAAATTGAATGCACTTACATAAAAGTGAACCCTTCGGCAGTATAAGATAGTAGTATCCTATATCATAACTTCAAATAAATAGAAGTATTCACCTACCTATGAGGTTGATACCTTAAAGTATTAACCCAAAGTATCCTACTCATGCTAACCTTTTTGTTGAGCCTTTCGAGCTCAAGGAGCTTGGCGAAGAACACCCTCCTCACTCGCAGCGCGAGTTGTGCACCTGGCACTGGTGGTACCTGGGTACGCCGAAAACACGGCTTTTGTAGTGTATAATGCCTTTTTGAAATCATGTTTTTCTTAATATAGTGTATGATAGTGTTTGGTTCCAAACGGTTGAACCAAAAGTTGTGTCCACCACTGCAGTCTTTTGACACCCGGGTCATCGGCCAGCGATCTTGTTCTCTTCGGCCAGTGCAGCTGTGGCGATCCCGAAATCTCCTAAGCTGAGTTGCTGCAAAGTGCGAGGTAATCTAACCCCTGCCAGGCTGTGGTCATACAAGTAGCCCAAGTCCATGGTCTTCAAACTGCTTGGCAAGGTCACACCTTGCAAGCTCTGGTCGAAGTCACTGCCAAACGTCAGAGTCTGTAGGTGGCTTGGTAGTGTGACACCTGCCAAGCTCTGGTTGAACCACACGCCAAAGGTCAAATGCTGCAGGTTGCTTGGCCAAAGGACACCTGACACGCTTTGATTGAATAAGCGGCCGAATGTCAAAGTCTGCAGGTTGCTTGGCAGAGCGACACCTTCCAAGCTCTGATCAAAAGCACGGCCAAAAGTCAAAGCTTGCAAACTGCTTGGCAATGCGACGCCTGCCAGGCTGGTGTTGAAGCAATCGCCAAAAGTCAAAGTTTGCAAGCTGGTTGGCAAGGTGACACCCTGCAAGCTATTGTTAAAACAATCGCCAAAATTCAAGGTGTGCAAGCTGCTTGGCAGAGTTACACCATCCAAGTTCTTGTCAAAACAAGCTCCAAAAGTCAAAGTGTGCAAGGTGCTTGGCCATGTGACTCCTACCAAGCTCTGGTTGAACCTCTCGCCAAAGGTCAAAGTTTGCAGGTTGCTCGGCAAAGAAACACCTGCCAAGCTCTGGTCGAACTCAGCGCCGAAAGTCAAAGTCTGCAGATTGAGTGGCAGTGTGATGTCTTCCAAGCTTTGGTTGAAAGTACGGCCAAAGGTCAAGTTCTGCAGGCTGCTTGGCAAGGTGACACCTGCCAGCCGGGTGTTGAAACCATCACCAAAAACCAAAGTTTGCAAGCTGCTTGGCAGCGTGACGCCCTGCAAGCTGTTGTTGAAACTATTGCTAAAAGTCAAGGTTCGCAGGTTGCTTGGCAGTCTGGCTCCTTCAAAGCACCGGATGAAGTTGGCACCAAAGGTCAAAGTGTGCAAGCTGCTTGGCAATGTGACACCTTTCAAGCTCTGGTCAAAGTTGTTGCCCATGGTGAAAGTCTCAAGGCTATCTGGCAATGTGACACCATCTAAGCTCTGGCTAAACTCCTCGGCGAAGGTCAAATTCTGCAAACCCTTCGGGAAGCTAATACCTTGCAAGCTCTGGTTGAAGGAACCTCCAAAAGTCAATGTCTGGAGGCTGCTAGGAAGTGTGACCCCTTGAAGGCTCTTGTCGAAATCAAACTCAAAAGCCAAGGTCCGTAGGCTGCTTGGCAGCGTGACCCCTTCCAAGCTCTGATTGAATTCCCAACCAAAGGTCAGCGTCTGCAGGTTGAGAGGCAAGGTGACACCTTCTAAGCTCTGGTTAAATTTGAAGCCGAAGATCAAAGTCTGCAGATTGCTCGGCAACCTGACACCTTCCAAACTCTGGTTAAACCGCTCCCCCAAGGTCAACGTTCGCAAGCTGTTTGGCCACTGAACATCGGCCAAGCTTTGGTTGAATTCATATCCGAAGGTTAACGTCTGCAAGCTACCTGGCAATGTGACATCGTCCAATTTCTGGTTAAAATAGCGGTCGAAGGTCAAAGTCTGCAAGTGTTTTGGCAAAGCGACACCCTTCAAGCTCTGGTTGAAACTCTCTCCAAAGGTTAGTGTCTGCAGACTGCTTGGTAAAATCACTCCTGCTAAGCTTTGGTTGAAATACCTGCCCATGATCAGAGTCTGTAGGCTGCTTGGCAGTGCCACACCATCCAAGCTCTGGTCGAAGTCACTGCCGAACGTCAGAGTCTGCAACCTGCTTGACATGGGTACCCCTTCCAAGCTCTGGTTCCATGCAAAGCCGAAGCTCAATGACGTAATGCCCTGGATGGCTCTTAAGTCCCCGGCACGCAGGACATCTGCATTGTTCGTCTCAGAGGCCAAGGCACGCTGCAAGCTCACGGCGGCTTCTCCTGCGGAGACTTCCCGGGTAATGTAGGTGACTTCTTCCCCACACAGCTGTTCCAGTAGTGGCTTCGAATCGTCCAAGACGGTACCACCGGAGGTCAGCACCAGGCAAAGGCCGGGTGAAAGGCGAGTGCCGCGAGAGGCAATGAGAGTGGAGACATCCTCCACCTCAGATCGAAGATCGACTCGAAGATGGAGACAACTGGCTTGGGACCGATGAAGAACCCACGTGTTGCATGTCACATGATCTTCTTTGGCAGGCATGTGTATCATGGTGTAAACATTTGAATAAGCTCTAGGCCTGGAATCCGGTCCAGGGAGTGTCTCGAAAGTGAAAATGTCTAAAAATGAAAGAGAGAGAGAGAGAGAGCAAATCCAGAGAAAGTGCAAAGGGACTTGAGGAACTCCCGAGTGCTTCAGGATCTCAAAGATCCGTCCCCAGAGTGGCTCGAAAGGGAAATCCCTCTTTTTCTGTGGTGAGATGTTGTGCGAGCGGTCGTGATTCTTGCTCAGATCGCCAGGCCTAGGGGGGGTGGTCATTGCTTCTTGTTGCCCAAAAGCATGGTTCATCTTTCAAAAGCACCAAATTGATACGAAATTTCATATTGTGCTAAAAGACAGATAGAGAGAGAGAGAGCATGATAGAAGTCACAAACACTAGAATAGAAAAACTCACCATCCGCAAGTGCATGTTACGGTTGCGGTCTCCCCAACTGGTAGGTCAAAAGTTGAGCCGTCCATGCCATGAACGCAGACCTTCCGGCCAAACGTGCTGCCTTCAGCAAATGCCAGTGCTGACGATTGCGCTCCTTGTGTTCCTTCTTGCAGCGCTTCCACACTCAGTGCCTCTGCCACTGGCCTCACTCAGAAGCGTGACAGGTGCAACACTTCCACTTCTTCTTCTTCTTCTTCTTCTTCTTCTTCTTCTTCTTCTTCAAAAGAATACGGTAATATAAACTCGTCTTCCATGTGAGAAGAAATTCATCTGAAACCTATCTTCCCTCTCAAGAAAAGAAAATGACATGTGACATACCCTCTCTCAACCACCATTTCCTACCATTCCGCCATTCCACCACGCACTCCCCTTCTCACCCGAGCCGCAGGAGCCGCTGGGCGCGCGCGGCCACGTCCAGCAGTCGCTTGGCGCGGCCCACGTCCGCCGCCAGGACGCCCAGCAGTGCCTCGTCGTCCAAAGCGGCGACGTCGGCCGAAGCGCCGGCGCCCATGGCAGAGACGCGCACGCGGCAGAGGCGCGAGAGACGCGGACGCAGTGCGGGAAGTGGGAAGTGGAGGTCCAGTGCTGAGGATTGTAGTTCAGGTGGAGTTGAAACTTCGATCTGAGTTGATCCAAGGACTGTTTCTGAAATTCTGAAGTAGTTGGCTTACAAGGATTGGTGAAACTGGGAACTACGAGTAGATCCTGGTGGGTTCTTCCAAAGGAACCAGGACTCGGTCACCAACTGCTTCATGTATGCTGAGAAGCTGGGCCAGCTGCGACGAGAAGGTCATGCTTGCTACCGAGGTCTTCCTAAGCATGGACTTTGCAACCCTCAATTTATTCTGCAGGCAATATAACAAGAAGGCTGCAAGTCAGAAAACGTCCGTCAAGCTGGCTTTGCAAATCTCATCGAACAAAGCATCCAATACTGGTCATGTCCAAGGACCCGGCTAGAGCAGCACCCCTGCACCCCGTTGCTCCAGTTGCTCCACCGTTCCTGGCATCGTTCCCACGTTGCTTTGCCAGTGATAGTTCTCCAGTGGTTTCACCTGTCGCCTGTGTTCCACGGCCCAAACTGGGTGCTTTGTTTGGCCACTTTATAGTCTTGCGTACTTCCTCGTCGGTCACCAGGTCAGCACCCGTGAAGAACAACTAAAGGGCCCTTCCAAACTGTGGTTTCGCCACATCCCGACACATCGTTTGACGCTCCGGCTGCACACCCGGTCGCCGCGTCGTCCCCCCCCTCAGTGGTCTTCGCCTCAGTCCGTCCAGTCGGAAGCCAACCCCGCGGACGCCGCTCGCCGTGCCCGGCACCGGGGCGCTGCACACGGCGCTGGCAGCGTGGGAGTGGCGTCCAGGCGGGTCATCCGCTCCATCTGTTCCGCCTCGGCGTGGAAGAAGAATGCGGCTTCCGGTAGATGAAGGAATCGTAAGAAAGAAAAGTCCACGAGGTAGAGTTTTTGGCAGATCTGTTCCATGTCTCAGGACACGTAGTCTAATCAAATGACATGTGAGTTGCAGACTCTATATACTTTTACTGTGGCTTCCCTGTACTTAAACTGGCAAGGACATTACTCTCACCCTTGTGTGTCTTGAAGGTGGTTGTGAACCTCGTAGGAACTCCATGCCAGTACTACTCTTGTGACCATGCAATGCAGAAGTAGCCACAGGCTCTGAGATCAAGCGCCGAAAGAGAACCGAACTGAAAATATCTTTTGAAAAGGGATTCCTACTCATTTTGGGAGGCTCAGAGGGTTGCACACAAGACGGGAGTGGATTGGAGAATGGACATCCACGGCCACCCAGCCACCCGCAAGGTATCCCACGGCCACCCTGTGCGTGTGCCCCACAAAACACACTGCATCCCAGACGCTCTGGGTCGATTCGATAGAATTCCGCCAACTTCCTTGCAATTGGCTCACATCATTTTGGGAGACACGAACTGAGTCAATCACTATTTCAGGGGGGTAGTGTCGAAACCCCTCCAAAAGGAAGACGATTCTTTTGCAGAGACCTCAGTTTGAAGAAAAATGGAATTGGAAGAGATGAAGATGGCCCCTAGGTTGCACATCTTGCAAGGGGTGAAGCAATCAAGATGCGTGGCTATCAGGATACGTTTACTGTGTCTAGATCTTTCAGATTGTAATTCAATGCATCATTTGCTGTACTCACAAAATAGTTACATGTCTTTTGTGGTGGAGTCACAGTGGAGGCCACCATAAAACTGAGAAAAAGATGTGTGATGCCGCCTGGTGGATTCCTTGCAGGCCGTCTCCTTCCAACTAAATCATCTGCCCCAATCACACCTCCCCACCGCACTAGGCGTCGCGGGGTCCCGCGCTTGGCGCGCTGGAACAGCTCCGACGACACGTGGGACGCGCCGTCCACGCCGGACACCGCGCTCGGAGGAGTTGACAGGACTGTCTGATTGGAGGTGTTTGGGGCTTCCTCCATCGTTAAATCAAACAACAAATGTGCTTATCAATTACAAGTATCATGTTTTCTTCCAACTATAACATGCTCGTCATGAAATATTCAGAATCCATGACATAAGGATGACTCCCACCCCAACATCTCGATGTTCCCTCGCCATGTTCTACCGCCTTCTGCCGAATGCCGGCGAAGTCACTGAGGAGAAGGCCCTGGCCAAACGACTGGAGCCCACTGGCGAGGAACCAGGTCCTTGGCGAGGAGAAGGCCGAAGGCCATGGATGTAGTACCTGAGGGCCGAAATGATCCAGGAAGGCCCACACGGCCCTCGGCTCCTGGAAAAAGAAAAACGACGAGAATACGACTATCAATGGCATTTGTTCATCCGGACCCGGACATTTTCCGTTGGAGGTGAAAGAGCACCCGCCTGGGGAAGTCAAGAGCCACCCAGTGGACCCTTAGTACTTTTTAGAGTGCATAGGGAGCAACCTCCAGGTCGAAGTCCAGTTGATCTTTCAAGTTCCCCATCGGTTGCCCGCCAACTTGTATTGAACTCCCAAGACTTACTGTGCAACGTTGAAAGAGCATTCAACCGAGTCAAGACGAAGCAGTGTTCGACTGCTCATGGGGAAGATCACCGGACACCCTGCAATCGAAGACTGAACAGAGAATCCAGACATCCCAAGCTGAATTGAATCTCAAGCTTCTGTAAAAGCCATGTAAAAGCCCTTGGGCCCATCATCTGGATGCTTGGGGGCTTGGATGCTTGAGGGGTGTTATTGGGCTGCAGAGAACAACAGTGTACGGTCGAATGGGACGACTCCCAAACATGTTGAGACTGAGAACCACTTGACCTGTAAAATCAAGGGGGTGATAGACTGTCTCGCCAAACCCTGAAGAATGGCAAAGGGTACTAGACTTGACTGCTAAAACTTTCCAAGAATGCAGTGGTTTGTCAAAAAGTATGGTGGTTTTCGTCCAAATGTTAATCTTTTGCCACCGGAAGATGCAAAGCAGTCCAGTGGGCAATGTAGAAGCGTCCCACCAGCTGCCGGACAGTGCGCAGCTGCATGTGGGCCTCAGCTGATTTGCGCTTACCAGCTGAGTCTAGGCTTTGGGGTAGCAAATTAGGGAAAGTAGCAATCCCTTGAATCCTCTTGGCAACTCAGATTTTGTCCATCTTCCTATCTGCTCCGGTTAACGACCAACTAAAGAAAAAATATGCCATCGGCTTTGGCCCAGGAGCCATCTGCTTCAACCCAACCCGCTACCAACAGCTCCCTGCCGCACAGGCGGACCGAAGAGGATCGTCTCGTCGGAGGCGACGTCGAAACGGAAGAGGGGCGGGAGTGCGAAACGTGAAAAGGAGTGCGAAAGCGTTGAAGGAGTGTTAGTGCACCTGGTCAGTTTTTCAGTGCACTTTGAGGGTTTAGGGATGTCCAGGGTCGCAGGCGGAAGCTGTGAGTGATGTCTCACACGTCGAATCGGAAGAACCGGCTTCGACGTGGAACCCATGCCGTCGGTGTGACCCGGTTCACGTGCGACGAGCCACGGGCGTGAGGGAAAGGTGCGTTTTTGTTCCGGTGGATCCAGGCACCCTCATTTCTTTAAATAACGGATTCAAGATTCTGACGAGCTTGTTCTTCCGCAGGTTTGTTCTTCATCTTGCGAAGCTCCCCGTGTTTTTGCGGAAGGTTGACGATGGGAGAAGGATCACGGTGAGAATCACCTGCGATGTTCATCCCATTTCCCCCACCACATGTGCGCATCGCATGATGTCCAGCTCACTAAATGCACAAACTAGGACAATCCCCAAAACGAGGCTTAAGGGTGGGCAGAATAGTCAGTCTAATTTACCCGTCCCAAATTTCTTGTTTGAAACCTTTGAACCGTGTTAGTCGCACCCAATCAACCCCAACCATCTCCGTCTCCACCTTCTGCCCGCTTTCTTCGGCCCGGCGGGAGCTTCAGCTGCGCCGCAGCTGCGCTGCGCCCGCCATCGGCTGGCGGCACCGGCGGAGACCGGGCGACGAAGCGGTGCGCGGACGGCGGAACAAAGGTGGACGGGACGTTGAATCTAGTGTTGGTGGTATGCGGTGACCATTGAAGGTATGATGGTAGTAGCTCGAGGTTGTAGTGATTGTGGTGATTCCGGCTCAAGGGATCTGAATCGAAGCCATGCTGGAGCCGCGGAGTCAGTGTGGAGTGAGTCTCGAAAACATGATCTACCTGTCAGCCCAAGCCTTGATGACATTGTGTGTCTCTCCTGGGTCACAGCTGCATACGGCATGACAATTCTCATCCGATTCACTCTGGTTCGCTCATTCCGAGCAGGTCCGGAATTCCACGGTGCCCGTCCGACCCTCCTGGGGCCTCCGAACTTTAAACCCCAGTTCCGCTTGATGCGATGCAAGTCCTGGTCGCTCGTTGCGGTGTTCTTCCGCGAAAAGCATGGCGGAGTCCAGGACGAGTCGAGGAGATGCCATGGTTTCCCCTCCCGAAGTTTAAGCGGATCTGAAAAAGGAGAAGCCTTTTAAAAAGAACTGTGGCATGGCGGCGTAGAACTTGTGATCTGTGACCTATGTAGCTCCCTGTGTAGCTGAGTCAACTGCACCTCTGAAGTGTCTTCACTACGGCACCGGCGTGTTCGATGGCTCCCAAACGCATCTCCGATGCGGTTCTGATCACCGCAGGGGGAGCAAGGAGGACCTCCTGCTTGGTTCGTGTTGACACACGGTGTCTACACCGAAACGAAACAACACCGGTCCACGTGTCTACCCGGTCACACGTCTGGAAGCCACGAACGTCTTCGGTCTTCTCGGGTCCGTCTTCTTGGCTGAATCGCTGATGGGATGCTCCAAGGCCTGCAGGTCCTGGAGAAGACGAACGATGGAGCGATGGTGTCCTGGTGGATGGGATGGGATTGACGCGTTGGTCAACGCGTAGCCCTCGAAGCATCTGAACGACATGGTTCTATAATGGATGTTAAGACAAATTGATTCAGAAGACCAGCCGGATCCAGAATGGCTTTACATGTCCATATTGGGGGGTCATTCATGAACAGTCTACATGGGATTG